CGGAGAAGACAGGACGAAACAGATTAATTTCCTTGCGGCCAGGAACCGTCACGGATTCAGGGATGGACGGGGGGGGGTGGTACACCCCGCATATACGTCTAACAATAGTTTAATATTCATATTGTCACGTTCACAAAAGTCAAAGGAGCGATGGGCTCCTCGTCCTAATTCATCGGACAAAAATTTGCCCCCTTTCAGGGGCGCATTCGCGTCACTCGCTGATGGATTCACTCCAAGTCATTGACGCGAGAGCATCGCCACCACTAGCACAATCCGGATTCGTAATTAAACTTAGCCCCCTTTAGTGCGGCCCCGTGTGTTCTCTGACATTTGAGATTTCGATAGAAGATTAGGAAAAAAAATAATAAAAATCAATTTCAACTTTTGGCTTTTTTTAGCGAATTCAATTTCATCAAAAATATTTATAAAAATTGGGAGAGGGAGATCTTTAAATTATTCTTACTTTTTCTTTTATATGATATTTGATATTTAACGACTAGAAGAATGATTCGTTTTATAATAATAATAACATTACAATTTTATTGCAATTTAATATAGTATTAATAATGTTACAATTTTATTGCAAAATAATATGACAATTTTATTGCAAAATAATAATATTACAATTTTATTGCAATTTAATATAATATTAATAACATTACAATTTTATTGCGAAACATTACAATTTAGTATAATGATAAGTTTTTTTTCTTTAAGATGCTTATATTTTTTTAAAAATATTTATAAAAATTGGGAGAGGTTGATCTAGGATCTCTTCTTTAAATTATTTTTACTTTCTCTTTTATATGATCTGATATTTAACGACCAGAAGAATGATTCGTTTTATAATAATAATAACATTACAATTTTATTGCAATTTAATATAGTATTAATAATGTTACAATTTTATTGCAAAATAATATGACAATTTTATTGCAAAATAATAATATTACAATTTTATTGCAATTTAATATAATATTAATAACATTACAATTTTATTGCGAAACATTACAATTTAGTATAATGATAAATTTTTTCTCTTTAAGATGCTTAAATTTTTTTAAACAAAAATTTATTTTATGGAATTATTGCGATATTATCTTCATCTGATTATCTGAATCTTTCACTGTTTTCCCCCATCAGAGATCTTTTGGGAGAGCCTTAGGGATGTTAATTCACGGGAAGCGGGAACGAGATATCAGAAAAGAGGCTGCTATTAATAACTTGTCAAGTTCTCCTCGATAAAACTTCCGCGAAGGGAAAAAAGGGCGACATATCGTCGATATCCGGCGGACCGCAAAAATTCACAAAGAACGCCGCTTTAACTTGCGCGATGTTAGAAAAGGAAAGAAAGCCTCAAAGCAGCGAGGCAATTCTGCCGAATGGTGAAATTTTTTTCTATACATTCGATTATTATTATTATTATAAATTTATAAAATTACTGAAAAATCACTTTGCAATTTTGCGCAAAAAATATAAATTGCTATTAATTCTTTTTACCATATTTCCTTACTAAGTATTAGATTATATATTTATTAATTATTAATTTATTTATTATATATTTATTATTAAATTATATTTTTAAAATTATATTTTATAAATTATATATTTTTTTCATTAAAATTTTTAAAAGCGAGATAAGAAGTGATATAGAATTTTTTTAGACAGTTTGTATTCTTATATTCTAATTTTTTATAACAGCTTCAGTAGAAAATGTTTGAATTTAAAATCCCATAAATCCAAATCCAAAAAATTGCTTTACTATCATGAATTTAATCCTTAATTATTTATTCACTTTTCTCTTATATTTTTTTTTGTTCAGTGATATCTTCTTTATTGTACAAAATTGTATAATAATCGGAGTTTTTCATTTTGATTAATCGATGCAGCAAAATTTAAAACAATATAAATTTATAAACACAAAAACAAATATTTTTATTTATTTAATTTTCCCTATCGTAAGTTTCCGCTCGTTAGCACGATTTATTTCCGTTTATCATTCGCAGAATGCGACCAGTGCATCTCACGGTCCGTCCTCTATTTATTACACCCTTCCCTCCCCTTCATCGCTCCCTCCGGCGTCGCGCGGAAACCTCCCCAGGGGTGAAATCGCAACGAGAGGCGGCCCTTCTAAGGACATCCACGATTGGGCGCCGAAGGGATGTGCCGGCCTCTCGGTAATAATCCTCGCGGTGTTCTTGGCCGCTTCATCGTTCGCATTTAATGAGGAATGGAATGAGAGCGAGAGGGGAGGTTGCGGGGATGGACACACGTCTCCCAAAGACGTTTTATTTATTTAGACATTATATTATTGTATTATATATATTATATTATATTATGTTATTTATAATTATATTTTATATATATTATTTAATATGAAATATAATATATCATCTACGCATATAATTTATATCCCAGCAAACGCCAAATAACAGTTATATAACTATTTATTATGTTATATAACTGTTACATAACATGTAACAGTTATATTGTTGAGTAGGAAATTACAACTAACAATTATATAAATGTTACTTGGTGTTTGCTGGGATAATATTTTTATATTAAATTATTTCTATATTATATTATATTATGTTATTTATAATTATATTTTATATATATTATTTAATATGAAATATAATATATCATCTACGCATATAATTTATATCCCAGCAAACGCCAAATAACAGTTATATAACTATTTATTATATGTTATATAACTGTTACATAACATGTAACAGTTATATTGTTGAGTAGGAAATTACAACTAACAATTATATAAATGTTACTTGGTGTTTGCTGGGATAATATTTTTATACTAAATTATTTCCCAGCAAACAACATTTATATAATTTATATAACATATTATATACCATATTATATTATTTATATAACATTTATATAATTGTTAGTTGTAATTTCCCATTAAACGATATAATTGTATGTTACATGTTATGTAACTGTTATATAACTAACAATTATATAATTATTATTTGGTGTTTGCTGGGATAATATTTTTATACTAAATTATTTTCCAGCAAACAATTTATATTATTTACATAACATACATTTATATTATTTACATAACATATTATATAACATATTATATTATTTATATAACATATTATATAACATATTATATTATTTATAACATTTATATAATTGTTAGTTGTAATTTTCCATTCAACGATATAATTGTAACATGTTATGTAACTGTTATATAACATACTGTTACATAACTAACAATTATATAACTGTTATATAACATACCGTTGTATAACTAACAATTATATAACTGTTATATAACATACTGTTATATAACTTTTGTTACATAACAATTATATAATTGTCATTTAGTGTTTGCTAGCAATTCATTATATATTTTTTCTCCTAGACGACATAAGACAACTCTCGATTCTTAGCACCACGTATTCCTAAAGGCTAAAGGATTAACGCGCCAGGAAAATATATAAAATATCGATATTTGGACCCCCTCCCACCCTCTCTCGCGCGAGCAACACCTGTGTCCGCGCGTTGCGGAGAGGTATCGGCCGCGAATCTTCGCGTCGTCGTCGTCGTCGTCGTCGTCATTTCGTTACCTTCGAAATATTAATCTTGGTCGCTTCCCCGGCACGAGCACACGTGCCCGCCTCCAATCTGTACGACGATGACGACGACGGGAGGAAGAGGCACGAAAACGAACATTGTGCGCGCACGCCATAACAGCGTAGCAATAACAGCGTTCCATTATATGTAGCTACACCGCGAGCGGGCGAGATTGCAAAACATGCCTAGATTAATGTTTTCTCATCCCGCGGCTTTGTTGCGCGACCGGGGGGAGGGGGAGCGGGGGGACGGGAGGGGGTGCGGGCGGATGGTGGCGGCGCACCCTCCTGCCTCTTCCGCGTTTCCCTGTCGTCTCGCCTCCACCCCCCCCCCTCTCCCGGTCTATATACAATCGCGTCATGCGACAATGAACAGTACGAATTACGTTGCATTCTCTTTTGCGGAGTCTCCCTCCCTCTCCCTTTCTTTCCCTCTCTCTTTCTCTCTCTCTTTTCGATCGGCCCTTCGCGGTTTCGTGGCGCGTTATTATTCCGTCGAGAGAGAGAGAGAGAGAGAGAAAGAGAGAGGGAGAGAGAGAGAGAGAGTACAAACAGCATGGAATAATAAATCAGGAGATCTCGAAGTAAATAGGGAGGAGGACTGATGCAGAATAAATTATGTCACAGATATATATATATATACTTCAGAAATATTTCATAGATTTTTTCTGTGAAATCTCATCCCTCTCCTTGTCTGCAGACTCTTGTTTTTAAGAAAGCATCAGCGTGAAAAAGTCGAGCAATAAGTTCGTCAGAAAATTTCAAGCTTACTTTATACGTTTCGTTCCTTTGTGAGTTTCCACAAAAATATGTCGTTAGAAAAAAATTTTGGAAGATACTTGATCTGGAAAGTAAATTATCAATAAATTAAAAAGAAAATGGCATAAGAGCCATTAAATGCTATTTTCTTTTTCTTTTTAATTTTTTGATTACTTGAGCCAAATCTCTAATTATTAAAAATTATCAATATTCGATCAGGAAAGAGAGAAAAATGGAGAATTAGAAAGAGAGAAAATTTTTTTAAATATAGTAGATATATCTACTATATAAAAAATAGCAAAACTCAATTTTATTAAAAAAAAAGTTTGGTTCATATATATCCCTCCAAAAAAAACCTTACAATGGTAAAAAAAGTACATAAAAAATATTCCACCTTGTATGCAACGTTTAATAAAAAAATATCCTTATAATAAATAATTTATAAAAATTTTCCCTCAATAAATATATAATTTTCCTTAAAAAAATTTTTTGATTACTTGAGCCAAATCTCTAATTATTAAAATTAAATTATCAATATTTGATCAGGATAAAGAGAAAAATGGAGAATTAGAAAGAGAATTTTTTAAAATATAGTAGATATATCTACTATATAAAAAATAGGAAAACTCAATTTTATTAAAAAAAAAGTTTGATTCATATGTATTTGTACGTCATTTTAGTCTAATTTTAGAGTATTTAAATTTTCTAATTCTAGAGTATTTAAATTTTCTAATTCTAGAGTATTTAAATAGATGGAATGTACAAGTATCTCTTCGAAATTACGCTAAATATTTTTTAACGATATTTTCGACGAACCAGGTGAGTGTAAATTGCAAGTGATCGCCAGGTAACGAGAGGAAGTGAATTTTGCCGGCTTCTTCCATCTCGCGTAATCCGAGCCGGTCCTACGAATCAGATCAAATAAGAAAAAAAAACATACGCATTAAATGATAACATATTTCAACATCGATTATTCGATTACATACCTGCAAATACAGATCGCTTTTCTGCAGCGTCTGTATCTCCTTCGATTGACCGGGTTTGTAAAATCCAAACCACTCCGACTCCGTTGGCTCGACCATTGTATCATTTTCGAATTTAACGAGAACTAAAGTTCGAAGCTTTTGAAGATTTTCCTTATACACCTGATGACAATAATGAATAAATTAATAAAATTAATAAAAGAAGATAAATTAATAAAATTAATAAAAGAAGACAAATTAATAAAATTAATAAAGAAGATAAATTAATAAAATTAATAAAAGAAGATAAATTAATAAAATTAATAAAGAAGATAAATTAATAAAATTAATAAAAGAAGATAAATTAATAAAATTAATAAAGAAGATAAATTAATAAAATTAATAAAAGAAGATAAATTAATAAAATTAATAAAGAAGATAAATTAATAAAATTAATAAAAGAAGATAAATTAATAAAATTAGTAAAATTAATAAAAGAAGATAAATTAATAAAGAACATAAATTAATATAAGATAATAGAAGAAAGATTAATCAATATAACATTTGATCTATTTAACGATATCATTAAAATTACGAATCAAGGTATTTTAATAAGATACGTCATCTTTTTACAGTCATATTGATTAAAATTAAGCTGTAATAGAATTAAAAATTTCAATGCATAATCATTCTCACGTACAGGATTGATAATTTTTTCATTATTGATGTCGGCAAGGAAAACATTTTTATTTCGGTATTCATCTTCCTGCAAGGGATCGTGCCAATAGGCAGCTTGTACTAAGGACTCTTGAATATATCTAGGGAAAAAATTGGATATAAAATACGTTTTTTTTCTCTCTCTATTAAAAACAGATAAGTGCTAAGACTAATTGTAAATTTTCAAAGGCCATACGTACTCAAAATATGCGGCGTAACGCAGTATGCGCCTCATATAATTGCACAATCGAGATGTATCCGTACATTTTGGTATTCCGAAAACACCTTGATGCTGACCGCCTAAAGATATCAAGTTCAGCATTGACGGATTGGGACATCTTTGGGCCACTGCTCGCCTATCAAAGGAGAAAATAACTTTTTGCATAAAAAATCTTAATAAAATTAATAAAAGAAGATAAATTCATAAAATTAATAAAGAAGATAAATTAATAAAATTAATAAAAGAAGATAAATTAATAAAATTAATCAAGAAGATAAATTAATAAAATTAATAAAAGAAGATAAATTAATAAAATTAATCAAGAAGATAAATTAATAAAGAAGAAATTATATTATTGTTACAAGTAAATAAAGCAATTTACAGGAATTGAGACCCTTGAGAGAAGCCAATGGCGTTATATCCATTTTGAAGTCTTGTGTCTTGCGACAGTTGCTCGCATATGCTTTTAATATGCTCATTAATATTTCCAAAGTAGCTGTTCTCAACGTCCTAGATTAGAGAAAAAATATTGTTTAAATTCTGCACTAAACAGACGTAAAATAAAGTAACGGAATAAAAATTATGTATTTTTTTATCTATATATTATTATCTTATGTATTTAAATATTTATAAAAATATGTTATATATTTTTTTTATCTGTACATTTATTTATTCTAATTTGCTACTTCAATAATAGATGTTTTTATGAGACTTATATCCTACTATTCGATAATCAGAAATTACCAAATAATATTCCTAATTATCTATATTATATTTCTTTATTTTCTTTCTATCTCTCTTCTTAATATATTACCTAACATATTTTTAAGATAAATATTTTATGCTACTATAATATTTATAAAATATGCTTTCGAATATCACAATTTTATGTCCAACCTCTATGTCGTTATCTCCAATGCGTATAGATTTGACATAAACTCCAGGTATTTCATTCTGAAGAACATGTTGTATTTTTCCAAGACTGAAAGAGAAGCAGCAGCTATCACCTGCAAAAATATGCTTTAATTATTACAGTTGAATATTTCTGAAAATTCTGAAAAACAATGATTAATTAATTGTAAAAAATAGGAAATAATATTCCCTACAAAATTATAAAATAAAAATATATAAAAAATTATAAAAATATAAATTATAAAAATATATAAAAAATAAAAATTATAATATTAATTATAATATTATAAAAATAAGAATTATAAAAATATATAAAAAATATATAAAATTTTTTGCACTTGGAAATATATTATCATATTTATAAATATTGTATTATAAAAAATAATATATTTAAGATACCTTGAAAAAAGTCTAATTAATTAATAAATTACAAAGCATATCCCCAAATATGAACCTTGGCACAAAAGATATAAATTTTATTTTAGCTTGAAATATTCATACTTTAAGTTGACTTGGTGTTAATCAAGTCTATTTTAATCTTTAATTATAGAAAAAAATATTTATATAAACTTTATTTTTAGGTGATAAGGATATTTATGTGAAACAAATGTCATATAAACATATACATCGTTACGTTCTTTACGATAAGATTATAATTTTTTTAGAGTAAATATAGGGGAAAGAACGTTGTTTAAAACGAAATTAGACCGAATTAACATATTTGACGTGTGTAAAATTTTACATAAAAAAAAGAACGTCAGATATAATAAATATTGCAACTCATCGGAAACAAACTAATAATAATCTGTCAATAAAACTCACCCATTCCGTGCCAAAGTACTATTGGCACCGGCGAATCGATTTTTCCATCTTCTCCTTCGTATAAACAACGACCGGTGTTCGCGGATAGGAATATCAAGACGATAAAAATGTAAGTGCGATTTATCGTCCACTTTTCCATCATTTCGCGATTCACGCAAATTCACGCTGACGTTTGTGAAACTACTGTCAGGAATCTCGACCTACGCAATACTTTTGCGACACCGTTAATCATCGGTTGAACACTCAGTCAGCTGAGCGTGACATTTGACAAAGTCACATATGTTGATATGTACTTATCGACGACGACGCTCCATGCGGTCATCAACGAAAACTTTATATGATACTCGCTCGATAATTCAGATTTCGTATTTATCTCGCGAGTTTTTTTCAGAATACAGAACATTTACCCGTAAACTATACAGGGTGTCCCAAAAGTCCCGGACCGGTCGAATATTTCATAAACTATACACTTTAGAAAGAAATGTTTCAGACAAAAGTTATATGGCTTGAAGGAAGCCATCAGATAGTGGCAATGATTTGACATGGGACTTTCATTTGAAAGTCACGTGAAGATCATCGTCAATTTCTTAAATAGAACTCTCTATTTTTTATTAAATATTCTTGTAGCTCATGTCGAGAGCTTTCCAAAACACTATAATAAAGTATTTCTTTATTGAGTACTTTTCGAGTTATGAGGCTTGAAATCATTTCTTAATTTTGCATAAATTATAAAATATGTAGTAAAATATTCATTTTTCGATTATCTTACCTTTTAATATTTTTATGTACAAAATAATGAAAGGAATCAATTGGTGTAAAGAAAAAACATAGTTGTTTTTAAGAAAAAAATATGTAATTTGCATTTAACAATTACATATTTTTTTTAAAAACAACTATATGTTTTTTTTACACCAATTGATTCCTTTCATTATTTTGTACATAAAAGTATTAAGGTAAGATAATCGAAAAATGAATATTTTACTAGATATTTTACTAGATATTTTATGATTTATGCAAAATTAAGAAATGATTTCAAGCCTCATAACTCGAAAAGTACTCAATAAAGAAATACTTTATTATACTTCACGTGACTTTCAAATGACTCTCCCATGTCAAATCATTGCCACTATCTGATGGCTCCCTTCAAGCCATACAACTTTTGTCTGAAACATTTCTTTCTAAAGTGCATAGTTTATGAAATATTCGACCGGTCCGAGACTTTTGGGACACCCTGTATTATATAACCCGCGAAAAATAGTTAAATATGAACTTAATATAGACCTTAATAGAACCTTAATTTGAATTTTATTTAATTTAAATTAATACTGATTAACAGCATTAATATGGTTAATTAAAATCTTATTTGTTCCAAATATAAAATTAGAAATTTAGGTTGGTTAGATATATGCTTATTAAATATTAATATGATCCATATATATGCCTGGACAAGTTAAATCTAATAGCAAGAACGTATTCAAATTTAATTTCGATGCATATTAAAAACATATTTAAATTTAATTATTTTTAAATTTGACATTTGGTTTTCATATCAGTTTAATTTAGTTCATATAAATAAGCAATATATGAACCATATTTAAATCATATTTAACTATATTTAACTATTTTTTCGCGGGAATAGTTAACATCTACGCGAAAATAATGTAAATTATGTTTAATAAAAGTCACATATGCCAATAATGAGTAATTTATGAAATATTGAATATGATTCTTTTTTATATTATACGTAATTTAAAAATAACGATATAGAATTTTAATATTTTATTACGCCATAAAAACTCAACAAAGGATTCAATAAATCGGATCTCACACTTTTTTGATAAAAAAAATAAATATTTAGTTAAAAAAAATGAATATCCTAACAAAGAAATTATATCAAGTCTCATAACTCGAAAAATACTCAATAAAAAAATACTTTATTGTAGTGTTTTGGAAAGCTCTCGAGATGAGCTACAAGAATATGTAAAAGAAAATGAGATTTCTATTTAAAAAATTCAAGATGACCTTTATATAACCTTGACGATGCTGTTCAAAGTCATACTAATATTACTATGTAATGCGTCACTTAAAACCTTATAACTTTTGTCTGAAATATTTTCCCATAGGATCACTATTTTCGGAAATAAATGGCCGTTTCCAGACTTTTAAACCACCCTATATGTGTATTAAAATATTTGACGCATCTATACGTCAATCATGCTTAATTAATTATGGTATGATTGAACAGAATCTCAATCTCAATGAAGCGATGATATGCAGTGTCTGCACGAAATGCGAGGCTTTATGGCTTACCGACGTGAAAGCGCATCATCTCGTATCGTTGTTATTTCCGCGCATTAACGAATGCCATTCGTTCCCCGCGGTTGGCGGGGGGGGGGGGGAGAAACGGATCCAGGAGGGTTGCTCAGGCACTAGGAGCCTCTCCCGTTCCCGGTGACGGCGAAATGTTTGGGAGGAGGAACCTGGCGAACCAGTGGCCGTTTTGTTTAGCGAATCGCCGCGATATCGGGGAGCACAATGCGCGATATCCGAGCCGCTTGTTCCGAGGATACATTGTTTCCGTTCTTCGGCCTTCCGTTCCGCGTATGGAAATGTGCAGTAATCACTTAAAGCGGATCTGAGACGAGACCATCGTCAAGCGAATGTAACGCGGGAAACTTGCCAGAGCGGGAAAAGGCGCAATCATACGTCAACACGCAGTGTTTGCTGATATCTAGATAAAATTATCTAGATAATCATCTAGATAAAGAAATGTATCATCTTTATCTTTATTTAGATGAAGAAATACAAAGTATCTTTATCTTTAATTAGATGAAGAAATACAAAGTATCTTTATCTTTATCTTAGACGAAAAATATATGTCATCTTATCTAAAAATTGTCTAAGATGACGTTTTCATTATGCAAAAAAGTTTTCCAGCTTCTAAAAATCTATCTAAAATATCTAAAATATATTTTTTATATTATTATTATTAATATATTATAAATATATTATTATTATATTATTAATATATTATAAATATATTATAAATATATTATAAATATAAATTAATAAATAAATATCTATCATATCATTTATATACCTTTTTGCTATTTTTAAATATTGTTTAGGAAAAGAGAAAGAATATGTGTTTATGATTTTAATATCCCATTTATAATCTGCGTCACATTTTTTCCAAATATTTATAGTCTTCTAAAATAAACAAAAATATCTAGATAATTATCTAGATTATCGCAATAATTATCTCATCTTTCATCTAGAATCTAGATAGAGAAGTAAAAGCAAAATCATCTTTATCTCATTTAAGATAAATTTACGGATTTTTATCTTTATCTTTATCTAGATAATTTTGAAATTATCTACAGCAAACACGTGGCTCTAGGTGATTGGTTATTGCGTAATCGATTATTTTCGCGAGCAAGAGATTGATGAAATTATCTAATAACTGTCACTACAAACGCGAGAGATTGAATTGGAATGAAATTTATTTCGAACTTTGATAAAAAATGATTTTTGAGATTTTTAAAATTATTAATTGGTATTTATTTAGGAAAAAATTATTATATATAATCGCACACACATGCATAATTATATGAATTTTAATAATTTCAAGTAAAAAGAAAAATAAGACAGAAGAGCAATTAAAATTTAATAATCTGAATTAAAATGAAAGAGAGAATTTTATAATTTTTAAAACACAATACTATTAATGAAACTAAATGAATAATGAAAGGCAATAAAGAGCCAACGCAGTTGTGGGGCGTGTATAAAATAATTTCCAAAGCAGCAATTCAATTTTAACGATCCATTCGCTTTATTCCAAACGTTTCGGACTCAATTCGAGCCTACAATACTATTAATAATCAATTTTTTATATTACGTGAAAGAAATCTCAATAACTATACTTTTGAAACTTAAATATTACAATATTTTACAATAGCAAAAAATGTGCAACGTAAAAAGTTAATAATAGAAACGATATTTTTAAGCGAGTTTTGCGAAAAGAATCGAAAATGAAAACAGTGGAAATTATAATAAGTGGTAGGAATAGATGCGAATAAATAAGGACCGTGGAAGGGTTCAATTGCAGAAGGAAATGAAGAAGGAAGGGATATAGAGAAACAGAAGAAGAGGGAGTTTGATCGAGGGAATGATGAGAAGAAAGATCAACATATTAAAGAGATGGGCAACGAGAAACTGACTAGTCCAATAGAAAGCAAATTAACCGGAAATCTTCTTGGTAATATTCAGGATATGTTTGCGGCGAAGAAATTTCCTCGCGAAATTTCTCACGCAAAATATTTGAAGATGCTACGTAAATTCGTCAAATTAATCTACCATTTATTCCAATTAAATCATATAATAATAATAATAGTAATTATATATATATATATATATATATATATATATATATATACATATTTATTTATTTATTTATTTATTTAATATAGAAATGTTTTCTTATAATTTTTATTATTTCGTAAAATAGATAGTCACTTTAGAAGCACCCTATATATAGAAAGAATTCTTTATATATACACACACGCACGCACAAATGTATATAATAATACATATAATAAATAATAAATTCTCTCAATATACAGGATGTTTCTAAAGTGATCAATTTTGTAAAATAATATAAAAACACTTACTATTATAAAAAAATTATAAATATAACACTTTTAATAAATATAACATCTTTAGGGCATGCAAATATATTTACGTTTAAATACATACTTTATCGACCTAATTCAATTATTAATTTCTATGTGTGATTATCAATATCAGATCAATTCTCAAAGCAATCAATTTGGCTTCATGAAATACAAGCAACTGCCCAGATAATACACATGTCCAAAAGACATCTAAAAGACGACTTAAAGACGTCTTAAAGTCCTCTAGACGTCTTTAAGACATCTTTTGGCCTTTTTGTGCTGTCTGAGTGAATCTTTATAAATATGAATCTGTAGAATCATGGACATTATGCCAATACAATTTTTTTTAAATATCTTTAATTGCACCAAAATAGACAGTCACTTCAGAAACATCCTATAAATGTTTTATGTTTCTTTCATCCTTTATCATGTGGCTGTAATCACGAAATATAAATCGTTACCAAACATTGTCAAGCATTGAATAAAATTTTTCCACATCAATCTCCGCCTTTCGCAGCAGAATTTTTGAGCGGCTTTAAAATGTGCAAAAATATCCGGAAAAACATCACGAGAAAAGAAAAAAAGATAACGAGATGAAGCAATATTTCGGAC